ATTATTCAATGGTAATATACTGACCAAACTGATTGCTGTTTTTACCACCCGCACGTGTAAGGGCATTGGGGTAAAAAATGATCCCCCACTTTTGACGAAAATACACGTTTTGAAGCACCAGGAATCCGATTCAAAGAAAATTTCGATTATGTCGGTCTGTCGGTCCGTCTGTACGCTCATGGACGCCTGAACCGATTGGAACCAAATTTGATACACCGTACACCAGGCATGTCAAACACGCGAGCCGCGGGCCACATGCGGCCCCCCGTTCTGAAACCTGCGGCCCATCACGATTTTTGTAAATTATAAATTTTAATTGTACCTACCGTGTGTCCTATATTTTGGTTGAGACTGCAGTGTATCTCAGCTGTTTTTAAAGATAGATTTGCGGTTTTGTGGAATGTATAATACCATAAACAGGGGCAATCTAGCTGCGTTAGATTCTGAGATACAAGGTTAAAACGAAAAGTTTCTGAGATTTGACCCAAAGTTGGTATTTAGTAAATGCAACACTATGTATATCTTAACGTCAATTTCTTATCATTCCTTTTCCTGATTACATTGATGTATCCCAACCTATTTTTTTTTTTATTTTAGCGATGAAACAATAAAAACCTTATTTTTACTTCTTTAAATAGTAGGCCATGGATTCATGGAGATTTTGTTTTGTTTATTGTCTCCATTGTAACTACAGCGGTCGATGCCAATCAACAAAAATGGCTGACGGTACACGTCATTTCAAAATTTTGAAAAATGGTAAATAAATATAGAATGATACATTAATGTAATCACGAAAAAGAATGCAACAAAGTTGATGTTAACATACAATACAAGGTGTTGCATTTAAAAAATATCACATTTGGGTCAAATCTCAGAAACTGTTGTCCAAATTTTTTTTACTACGTCACTGGTTTCTACGTAAAAATACCTAAGATAGGCAGTTTTTACTTTTTTTCTATCTTACATGGGTAGTCAGATATGACAACCTCACAAAAAGTCCAATTTTTCACATTCACCCCATATCTCAGACCTCAGAAACAAACGTAGTTGGATTGATTCTGTATGTGGTATGTATTGTTTCACAAAAAAGTGGCACAGGGTCGCGAAAACCACAAGTCTCTTATCTTTAAAAGCAGCTGAAAATCACTGCAGTCTTAACCAACATAGGACACACGGTACATTTTCTTGAGTGCGTACTAATGATTTTATGATTATTTGCATTTTTCGTTTTTTGTATTATTTTGTATACCCACTTTTTTGTTAATAATAAAAAATCAAAATTTTTTTATGTAGACTTTTTGTGATGTCCGCAGCTATAAGTGGAAGCTTTATAATGGCCCTTGATGATAAATGAGTTTGACATGCCTGCCGTACACCTATTCATAAACATAAAAGGAAGAACAGAAAATCTTTTGGACAGAATCCCGCATGCGCAAGTGTGTCAAATTCTCATTTCCGGCTAAACAGCTGAACCGACTGGATCCAAATTGGGTACCCATATTCTTATACATAAAAGGGCAGAATCGCACATGTACAGGAGTGCGGGTGGTATCTGTGCTAGCTACAGAACATTTTTGGGGCACCGTTTCTGAGATTTGTCCCAAAGATGGCATTTTTTGAATGCAACATCCTGTATATCTTAATAGCATTTGTTTTTCATTCTTTTTTCTGATTACATTGACAACCTATGATATTTTAAATTTTAGCCATGAACCAAAAATAAAAACCTTATTTTTTACGGTTTTTAAATGGTAGGTAGGATTTAGCGAGGTTTTGTTTTGTTTATTCGATAAAAATCTCTAGCGGTAGAAGCATGTCATTTCAAAATTTTGAAAAATATCTAATATAATATATAATCATATAAAAAAGTGTAGGTTGTGATACATATAAATGTAATCAGGAAGAAGACTGAAAAAAATTACATAACTTACTTTTTTGCAAAGCAATGTATGAATTGCAATAATTTGTGAACATTTGAACATCAATCGAAAACCCCCAAAAGGAAGAAGAGAGGAATTGGTACTATATAGATACAAAACATCCTAAAATAAAACACTAAGTCCTACTATAAGAATTAAAGGGGTTTTTACCTTGGGCAACAATGGGGAGACGAGAAATTTCAAAAGCTAAATACATATTTGATCAGAACTACTGTTTTAAAGAAATTTAGGTAGATATTGCACTTAGATTTTTTAATGTTTTAATTTTCAAATTGTGTGAGCCAACTTAATTTAGGAAATGGTTTAAATTTAAATGTATCTATGTACAATCTCTGTGACTGAAGAAAAGCACCCAAAACTTTAATTTCACAAATGGTTGTTCGTACTTCGCACAACTAAACGCAGCCTAAGCAACGGTACATCAGCGACAACCTGCAATCGATAGGTGATCTAAGAGCAAGGCTTTACTGTGCGTAGACAGACAAATGAACGGACAGACCGACGGAAAATCGGGGATATTTTGTTGCATTATAGCGTCTATTTACAGAGATAGGAGATGTCGTACTTCCATTGTTGTACGTATTAGTAAGCTTCTACAGTGCCTATACTTTCCTATCCTAAAGGGTTCATGTTAAAACTCAAAGAAAATTATTTTGCTAAGAACTCCGGTAGATTTAAAATTATGTTGGAAAGATAAGAATGAACTCCTTCTTTTATCAAATGGGCGGTAACACGTAACTTAAGTTTGAATTCCGCAAGACGTGGCAGCACTTTCCTAATAAAATTTTGCTAGAATTTTACAGTTGCAGCGTCCCGGGCCGTGTCTGTTTACTGGTACATAATAAACTTTTTTCAGTAACTGTGAATGGATTTTACCAAAGGAAGGTTAAAGCTAGGATTGTATCGAATTTGTTTTCCTACTTTTTTTTAAGATCTACACCCCTTTGAATATTGTCTAAAATAGCAATTCTTTATCGCTCTGTATCGTATGATTGGAAGTTACTATTTAAAATACAATTCGATACAATCCTAGATTAGACCTTTATAAACATAATAATCATTCACTTTTATCATTATTACATTTTCTTTACGAATAAACAGACACGGCGCGGAACACTTTTAAATAGGGTTTTTGCGCTGGTATAGAAGCCTCTTAATCAATAATTAGATAGTGCGACCGCCTGCGATTATACCACTCTAATACCTATGTTTTACTAATTAATTTAATTAATCATCTTTTGTTGAACAGAACAGAATAGTAGAACAGAACAGTGAAAAGTTTACTGTAAACCAGTTCCCTCTCCAAACTGAATTAATTTTTTGTACCAAATATTAGTACGGTCAATGTCTTTTAATTTTGATAATGAAACAGGAGTTTTATAGCTTTTATACACCGCGCTAATTACACCTATAATTTAAAAGAATAGTTGGACACATACTATAATTAATAAATTGTAAGCTCTTTCTTTTTCATTTCTAGTATGCATAATTGTACCTAATAAACATGACCACTTTATGAAATTAAAAACTTTACGTCACCTTCAGCTTTCATTATATTGACATTAAAGATAATGTAACTCAACATTAATTGCAGGGGAATAAAACATTTATACCACGGGCAGAAATTGGCCTTATCTGTATGACAAGCCTATTAATGGCGCATTAACGTAATTGTATTGTAATGGAAAAGGAATTAGTCAATACTGAAGCTGAATCAGCCACTTGAAATTAAAATTACTTGCGAATCCCATCGGCAAGTGCTGAAATACAATGTTCTTGTAGGTGTTCCCCAGTTTGGCTTCAATAAATTAACACCCTTTACCCTTGTTCATTGTATTGTGATAAGTTTAATAAGGAATTTGTGTTTACGTTTATTGTTAATGTGACGATAGGGATACTGCACTTTGAATGTGTAAATCGTATCACATTCTGAATCTCATGGGGATTACTAATTCCATAAATATGGGGTTAATAAAAAGTGTGATTTTTGAGTTATGCAAAAAAAATGAAGTAAATCAAAATACACGTTTTATACAAACAAACTGAAACATGCAAATGTTTCTTTTTGAAGCTACCCAAAAGTATGCCACATCTTTGTGTGCAATATTTTCGGTATGCTCTTTCCGATTGTGTAAAAAATTATGTTACAAGAGCTGAAAACAGGTAGTAGCGTAACGAGCGTTAGGTAATAGATAGATGGGAACAAATCACGCTATAATTTTCCGTTTGCCTAACATACACTTTTTTGGATTTACTTGAATAAAACAGTTGTGATCAGTACAAAGCGTTTGAACTTTTTTTTTCCATTATTGTGTTAGCACAATTACCAAATTTGAAGGAATTCATCGCGAGCTTTTCTTTCTTAACTGCGGAAAGTACGCAACAATTTGGTTAGCACGTTTCTTTGCAAATATCATGCAGACTGCAGACAAGCGAAATTCCTAGAGAATTCAAAAGTTCAAAATGAATATATAGCTATTCAAAAACCAGGTATACCAGAAGACCAACCAGACAGTTACCGACCAATTGCGTTGCTGTCGATAATATTACTAGGGAGATCAATCTATAACAAAAAACGCCCAGTAATAATTAAAGGCCTATACCTGTTGAACAAGCGAAACTCAAATCTAGATTAAAATGAATATTACTAGTGACAATGGGATCAGTACACCAAGAAAGCTTAAAATGGCGTACCGCAAGGATCAGTACCAGAGCCATTGTTGTTTAGTATATACATATATTGCAGATATGCCCAAAACAACATCATCTAAGTTTGGTTACGCTGACGACTGAGCACAACCATCCAAACAAAATCCAAAAAGTCAAAATTAAGCATGACGCTACCCACAGGTTAGGCACACATTGCTGTCTCTTAAGATCAGAGACTTGTGATTTAAGTTTCAACAGGTTTTTTTATTACCTTTGTTCTTATATTCCTTGGAAGAACTAGTGAGTGTGTCGGAAGCGACGGGGGGTTTTCACGATTGACGGAATTAACTGTAGCAAAACCTTGCGCCAACAAAGGAAGATGAAACACTATAGATATCGTAGATAACTCACCAATATGGAAAAATCCCAGGGCTAGTGAACTTCCTATAATGCGTTGAGCATACTTTTTTAGGCCGTTTAGTCAGACCACTTTAAAACTATCGAAACGTAATACAACTAATAAAAAAAGACTTCAATTCGCAATATCTAAGTAAACACAAAACAAACCGTTACCTTGAGCTCGAACGGTTCCGGAATTTTCCCGGTTACTGAAACATTATGATTCCGTTTATTTAGTTAGGTGAGAAATTAATTTTCTTGCATAAAGGTTGCCGCACCCGTGTCCGTTCCGTTCCGTCACGTTACCGGACCGTTAAAAAAGTTCTTCAACATAAAAGTCATTGAATTAAACGTTTCTGCGCACATTAGCCCTTTCCCTCATGTTAAGTCACCATTCATAAGTGGGCGTTGAAGCGAACAGTCGGACGGAACAGACCATAATGTGCGGTAACCTTAAACTTCTAAGTTTAACATATGTCTCTCTTTCTGCTTCTCACATATTTCCAAATATATATTGTTGCGATTTTTCAAGGGCGGCAGAAAACGTCATGCTTTGGATAATTATCCCTGAGATCTGCTTAGAATGTATGTCTAAAGTGTACTATTTTTGGTAGTTTTACATGTCAAAACATTAGCAATTGTGATTTGAATTAATACGTTGCCTCGGCATGACGCAAACGAAAAAGATAACTTGTAAGTATTTGCAACACAATGTATGTTAACGTCAGTTGGTTCAGTCATTAGAATTAGTCACGTGCATTTCGATAAAAAAGTTTTTGTTTGCAAATCGGATCGGGTTTAAAGGGAGTTCCAACATTGACACCGAATTGATTAGTAGCGCCCCTTGAATACAATGACTAATCACAGGTAATAAATGTAGCAGTTATTCATTTATTAGTCTGAATACACTTTCAAATTAGTGGTTTTTTTTGTTCATTTAGAAATTGAGCTGATATGTCTTCAGAATCTGAGATATTGAATTTCGTGTTCTACAGTTGAGATATCAAAGAGAATTTATCTATGTTTCAGTGGGACCTATACACCTAAAGAGCCTCGCTCGATGATTTTTTTTTAGAGAATGTGCATGTACGACTTAATCCAGGTAATTATTACACAGTTCGAAAATTAAATCTGAACGACCGACGGGGAAATTGTGAACTTCCTTCTAGTGCCGATGTTGAACTCTCGTTCGGTTCGCAGCATACGTTGTCGTTTTATCCATTCTGCGCATAACGCTCTTATCTTACTATAAGCGGAGCGATATAAGAGCACGATAAGCAATGAAAAGACAGCATTCTTTGTTACGATTATTCTTAACTGTACCTTTGTTCGAGGTTAGCTGGCTTTACTAAAGTTTAACTAACGCCATCTCCCGGCTTTCTTTTGTGTCAGCGCGCGCAAATCTGCAGTGGTAGTATTAACTACCTCTTAAAGGGACAAATTTTTGACTTGACGTAACTTGGTCAGTAATTTACCTGCCAATGCACAATCGACTTGAACACGGTAGTTGCGCTATTTCCTGCGGATAGCTATTTTCCTGATTACTACGCCTAGTGCATATGTTTTCGAGCTTAGACTTACGGCCACAGTAATATGCATTGGCCCTTCAGGCACTAATTAGTTAACCACGGTACCGGCGAGCTTAGGTGCGTGGATTTTGTTTGTTACAGGTTCCGACTCGCTACAGTAGAACCGCTACAGCGACCCACTTATTCACGGTTAGGTTGTTACGAATGACTAAGGAGTCAGTTAACTGAGGAACTGAGGATTTAATTTACTAAGAGTTTCGAGTCACGAAATCAATAATTTTGAATCCTTAGGGAAGTAGTTTGTATTTGTGGGGATGTGGCCATTTATTTTGGAGATTGATTGAATAAACCAGAATTTCTATTGGTAAATTGATTTCACTGTTATTACTACACTCGTATCTTCTCATTTGCATACGGGAAAACTTAAGATAGAAATTAAGTGGGGCTCAAACCTATTGGTAAGTTGTGACGAAGTTCAGAAAATTGAATGCCCAGAACGAACTACCGTTGTGGACGATCTCAAGCATTTATTTCATTTTCTAACCCTAAGCTAGTTGACGATTTCATTAGAACGCCAAGAGGGGTAAAACCAGTCCCTCTCCAACCCCATTTTGATAAGGGGTAAGAAAGAAGGGCTATAGTTGGTAGAGATCAGTATTCCTTTTGTTGAAACCTTTAATTAGAATACGATGAAAGATACAATCCAATTCTACATCCCCTATCCCCCTTCCCGCCATCAACCCCTATTCTCGAAAAGGAGTCGCACAGAAAAATTCTAGTTTGTTCCAACCAATTCATTTGCATGAGACCTTTCATTAGAATACTATAAATAATAGAACGTGTGTTCACCCTCCGCCCCCCCCCTCTAATTTTCAAAAGTTTTACTTGGCACCCTTCATGGTATTCTCATGAAAGGTCTCACCGAAATGAATTGGTTTGTACAAACTATAACTTTTTTGCGCGACTCCTTTCCGAGATCAGTAGGTGGGTGAGGGAGGGGGGGAGGGGGGGGTAGTCATTTTAACTTTCTAGGTATTCCAATTAAAGGTCTCAACAAAAGGCATAGTTTTCTACCAACCATTGCCTCCTCCTCGACTCCTCATCGTGAACGGATATAAATAATTCCTTATATCTCAAGAACAGATTGTCGGAGGTGGGAGGATGGTACTCACAAAAGGCGATTAAGACGTCTGGAAAAAGTATATCTCAAAAACGCTTTGTCGGAGGAAAGTACCCACAAAGGCAAAATGATTTGTCTGGACGAAACTATCTATTAGCAAAGAGTAGTACTCTTTGCTATTAGTGAAGTCGAAGCGAATATGTTGAAAACTATGTGACGGAAGAGGGTACTCATAAAGGGCAAGTGGAATGTTGGGACGAGACATATCTATTGGTGATGTCAAAACTGGCAGTGCAAATATCCACACAACGGAGTATCGGAGGGAGGGTACTCTACAGGGTACAAAATTGTATATGTTCGAAAGTACCCAACTCAAATAGATTTAAAAGCAACTCCACTCCTTTCCCATTTGTAAAGATAACATTCCGAAGTATCGTACATAAAGTAAACGAAATACCTTGTTAATTAGCGGGACCTTCTGCAATCCAGAAGGTATCTGGAGGTGGAGATGAATGCCGCTAAATAAATTTAACACTCCGGCATTTACCTCTGCACAGACGAAACAGTTAAAGGCAGATTATTACACAAACAATTGGAGTCGCGAATCAAACTAAATATTTAACGTGAAACATTTAAATAAAAAACAAATTTAAGGGTTACCTACCCCTAGTTACAAATAGCTGAAGTCAATGCAAGTCACAATAAAACGAAGAGCAACAATTAAAATTTAAGTACATTATTATCTTTTTCTATGGCACAAATATTACACAAAGTTTGACAATTAAAGTTCGAACAAAATCAATTGACTGAACGCAAAAAGCAGTGAAGCTAAATTGTACAATGGATCTGTGAACCAATGAATTGCAAAATGCAAAATCAGCAAAGCTAAATCACGACGCTATTTCCTACATATACAGATTAACATCGTTTAAAAATTGCTGATATAAGGAAAGAGCCCCCAAATATTTTTGAGGATGGGTCTCTAAAATGAAGTTACACCACTGGTTGAAAAGTAAGCTGTAAAGCTCTTACACTAAATTGGAGAATGATAGTTCACAATTCAATATAAAATGACCGACTAACTTCAAAATGCACCCTCAAGTTTAAAATTCCAATTTACAACCAGGAGAAGTGGATGGGCTGGAGTCTCAAGCAACTGCACCAGTTACTTATAGAAACCACAGAACTCAATAAATCATATAGCTGAATTGTCTTAAACTAAATGGGGGGCGGGGGGCGCAAACTAGCACAACGCGTTTATCTTAACTTAAAAAAAAGTGGGCTAAAGATGCAAACCGTGTCTCAACCTCGGTCAACACGTGCCAGATAATTAAACCGAAAGGGTAAGTAGGTACTCGCCGCTCCCTTGAGAATTTTTTGTAAGCTTATTCTTCCTAAGGTATTACGTTTCCAGCAAAACTTCTCCAATTAGTAGACTTAATGAACGGACACAAGCGTTTAAAATTAATCCAGATCTGATGATTTGGAACGATACCTATCATATTTCTCGTGCGGTAGGTGCAAGTTGTTTCAAACTTATAATTAATCTACCAAATGATCGTTAGCAAAATTGTACAATGGGCGCAATTCTATATAAGTTGCCATATTTGATTACGTGCAGATTATCGAATTTTTTCACATACCTTTTGCTCTTTCGACTGCGAAAAATGAACATTAGAGGGTAATTGCGCGGTTTCAACTGACGTGTCCGCACATCAACACAAAACTGTGGATAACACACATGCCCATACTGATAGCATCCTGTCAAGTGCCAACTATATTTTGAATTACCCCTTCAATCACACTTCATGAATCATTCAGTTTTTGGTATGAAAAGGAACGGATTTAATTACTTAAGTGGTCGATACGACCAATGTCAAAAATATGTCATATTTTTCAGGGAATAATTTATATTAAGTCCCTCGAGGCATTCCCCTTATGTACTTACCTGATACCTATTGGAGATTGGTAACATGAAACAACATTTAATAACCTACAGCAGCGGGAGGAATAGGTTGGAAAGAGGGGTGTGAATACGTTAAAAAGTTATATATGAAACTTTTAATAACAATTGAACTCCAATCTTATTTTATGGTTAAGACTTAGAAAGGGATATTTTAGAAAATGAATAACTACACACAAACCTCTGTGTCTGGTTTTATCTTCGAAACCGCGACTCTCTAATTCTGTAGTTCGAATGTTTTGTAATGTCTAAAGTTGAAGGAAAAAAAATGACTCGACTTTCTCCGTTAATCATTATTTTTTACGGTGTTGAAAGTATATAAGTACCTAAAAGTAAAGAAAGACAGAATAGTTAAATATTTACACTGATCAGTGGATATCGATAAGGACTACTAAATGCCAAGAAATTGTATTAGCCCATCTCACACGCACCGGGTTTTACAACTTTTATTCTCTCTCTAAAATTGAAACTAACGAAATCTACATAAATGAAATAAAACTACAATAAAATTAAAATATAGCTTCAACGCCCCCCCCCCCCAGGCCGACGGGTGGACTCAGACTTCGGAAACACAAGTGTAATGATGAACGGAGAAAAGTGAGTGATATTTTTTTCCTTCAATTTTAGATAGACATTACTAAACATTTGTCCCATCGAGTCGGATTTCTTTGTAGAGAGTTTTTTCAAGCATTCTCACACGCACATTGCATATTAAATTATATTGGGTTAGATTGAAGATAACGTTTCTCTGCAGATTCAGCTACTCAATCTGGTTTGCATATCGCATTTATATTATAGGATTTTGGTTCCGTTCTCATCTTAAAATACCTAACTTTTTCAGACGTTGAAATGTCCCTACTAGGCCAGTCATATTAGACAATTTTTTTGCCAAACATTGCAAAAAATACTGTAAAGTTGCATTTTTAATATGTTGTTAGGGACTACCTAGACGGTATAAATCTAGATTTGCAACCCTCAGAAACATGAGCCATCCGATGTCCAGGGTGAAAATCGAGAAAATTTTGGACTTTTTTCAGTTTGTCGCAAAAAATAAGTAAATGAGTGTTCTAAAAAGGAAATGTGTTATTATCTCTTTTAAGTAGAGAGAATTACCTAAAAGGCGAGCTATGTGCGGGATCTGTAACCCAATTAGTTCCAGACATACAGGTCTGTGAATATTGACAAGTTTTTTTAAAAAGTGGAAATTGTTACTTTTGTCATATTTTACACCATAAATATTGCCATAAATACTCATACATACTACGAGGGCTATCCAGAAAGTAGCAGACGTTTTGAAATAAGAAATTAAGGAAGTGTAAGAAACAACTTTTATTATATAACACTTGGAAGCTACACTCTTATGCTATTTTTCAACATAATCGCCATTCGTATTGAGGCACTTATCGTAGCGTGGTACAAGTGTTTTGATTTCAACTTTGTATACATACGCCGCCTGAGACTTTAACCACTGGTTATCGCCGGCTTGAAGTTCGGCATCACTGTCCATGTGCTGTGTTGCGAGCGAGGTCTTCATCGCTGGGAAGAGGTGGAAGTCGCTTGGCGCTAGAGCCGAGCTGTATGGAGGGTGATCCTTTCTCCCATCCAAAATCATCCAAGAGCTGTCCAGTACGGTTGACTGTGTACGGGCGGGCGTTGTCGTTGAACAACAGTACTTCCACCTCTTCCCAGCGATGAAGACCTAGCTCGCAACGCAGCGGTTCGATAGGAACGCCGAACTTCAGCGTTACCCAGTGCAGGTTAAAATCTCAGGCGGCGGATTTATAAAATTTGGAATCAAAACACTTGTGCCACGCTATGATAATTGCCTCAATTTGAATGGCGCTTGTGTTGATAAATAGCCCAAGTGTGTAGCTCCCAAATATATATAATAAGAGATTTGCTTTACCAAGTTTAAAATTTTTTATTTCAAAACGTCCGTTACTTTCTGGACAACCCTCGTACATACGTATGTACAGAAGACTATTTATAAAATGACCTCTCAGCAGCGGTCTGAATTCTTGCAGCGAGAGGCGATGCCCAGAACCAAGAGCTCTGTCTGCAGATGCAAAAAAGGTTGCTCTGCTTCGTGTTCTTGCATGAAGGCTGGTATGAGATGCTCTTCAATGTGCAACTACTGGGAAGGCATCAATTGCACGAACATACCAAGAGCCGAGGAGTTGGATGAAGAGGAGATCTACGCAGATGTGGAGTCGCCTCTCTTCAACCTAAAGATAGCCAACAAGGAAGTTCAAGTACAAGCGATGACTCTTCGCCTCCTCTAAATATTGCCCGAAAATGATTGTTACAGTTTACCATTACCTTCGATTTTAGGTTGTTATAATGAAGAAAAAAAAATTTTTCCCATACCGACACGTTTTTATTGAATTTAATCCCTAATCTTGTGCATTTATATATATATATATATATATATCAGCACTACGGGCCTTATAGACCCATGGCTTAGTCCTTTCTACCTCTACATTAAATTTTTGACTTTATCCTAATCTTCACATCTGTTTAATCTTATCCACTACTTTATTCCATTTTACCCTATCTCTTGCTCTGGTTTTCCAATCTTCTACCCCCACACTCTTCACATCTTTGATCACTGTATCTAGCCACTTCTTTTTTGGCCGTCCTATTTTCTTTTTTCCGCCAGTTCCCCCTTCCAGCATTCTTTTTGCGTGCCTGCTTTCTTCCATTCGAACGACGTGTCCTAGCCATTTAACCCTCTGAGCTCTTATGAACGTCACTATCGATATGTCCCCGTAAGCTTCTTGTACTTCTCTATTAGTTCTTCGTCTCCACTCACCATCCTCGGTTTTCACTCCTCCCAGTATTCTTCTTAACACCCGCCTCTCCCATACTCCCAGTTTTCCTTCCATCTGACTTGTCATTGCCCACAGTTCAATTGCGTACGTTACGGTTGGTCGTACAATCGTTTTGTACATTCTCAGCTTTGCCGCTCGAGATATCTCCTTTGAATTTAACATATTGCTAATCGCCCCTATCGCCCTGCTCCCCCTAGTGATCCGTTTGTGTATTTCCACACTCTCGTCCATCGTATTCGTTATTGTGACTCCAAGGTAATTGAAATTGTTGACTTTTTCGAAACTATATGTCCTCTCACCCGCCTGGAAAATGACGCCTGTATTACTAGTGCCTACATTTTGTCGCATTTCCATGTATTTCGTTTTATTCTCGTTTACTTCCAGCCCATACAATCTCGCCGTTCTTACTAGTGTACCAAACATCTTTTCTAGCTTGTTACTAGCGCTAAGTCATCTGCATAAGCGACTATTTGGTGTCTTCTTTGATAAATGATTCCGCCCCCTTCCATCCCACTTTCTCTCACAATTGCTTCAAGAACAAAATTAAACAGCACCGTTGAGATTGGGTCGCCTTGTCTTAATCCTATCCTTCCAGTCACACTTTCCGATACACATCCGTCTATCATAATTTTATTTCTGGTATTGGTTAACGTCATTTTTACCAAATTGATTAGCTTCGTCGGGATTCCGAAGATTTGTAGGGCATCGTACAGTTTTCTTCTGATAATGGTGTCATACGCCTGGCGGAAATCAATAAATAGTATGTGCAGTCCCAAATTTTGTTCGTAACTGTTGCTTTGCAGCATTTTCATCGTAAAGATCTGGTCCGTTGAACTTCGTCCTTTTTTAAAACCTCCTTGGTATTCCCCCACGACTCGTTCCTGGTGCTCAGTTAGCCTGTTCCGTATTATCCGCGCGAAAATCTTATATGCCACATCGAGAAGCGATATTCCGCGGTAATTTTCGCACATACACCTATCCCCTTTCTTATGTATTAGGCATACGATCGCGTTATGTCATTCCTGTGGCATTTGTTCTCTTCTCCACGCCTTTATGATCAGGTTCGTTACTGTCTGTTTAAGCCTTTCTCCTCCCCACTTATATAACTCTGCTGGTATGCCATTTTCTCCAGTGCTTTTGTAATTTTTTAAATTATTTAGCTCTTCTATTACTTCTGCTTTCGTTGGTTCGATTATTCCCTCGTGGTTGCTCCCCTCTTCTATCCTCTCTTGCATTTTCTCATCCTCCTCACGCTCATGCTCCTCTTCATCCCTCTCCAGTCTCCCGTAATACTGCATAAATATTCTAATCTTATGGGTGGGTGTTCCCGATCATTTCCCCCTTCTTGTTTTTTAGATGTGGAATGCTGCTGGGCTTTGAGTCTTCGCGATTTCTCTTTGCTTCCTGGTAGAAGTTTCTTAGCTCCTTGTTCGCGTACATTTTCCCTATTTTCTCTAGCTTCGCTTCCAAATACTCTCTCTTCTTTTGTCTGCATATTTGCTTGGACCTTCTGCTTGCTTCTTTGTACTCCCGTTTATTTGCTTCCGTACTGTGTATTAGTAGTTTCATTCTAGCCTCGTTCCGTACTTGCAGTATCTTCCTGCATTGTTCATCGAACCAATCCTTCTGTTTTCCTTGGTTTTTCTTCCCACCAATTTTTCCATGGTATCCTTCAATGTGTTTTCCATTTGACTCCACTCCTCCTCAATATTGTCTGGTTTCTGTAGCTTCTTTAATGTATAATCTAGCTGCTTCGCTGCTTCCGTTTGCACCTCTTGGTTTAGAAGTTTTTCCACGTTATATTTGACTAATGTGGTCTTTGCTGCTTTCCAGTTCTTTGGTGGGCCTTGTCTTAGTGTAGCAATTATTAGGATGTGGTCTGAGTCGATATCGGCGCCTCTGTAACTTCTTACATGTTGTATGTACCTTTGGTGTTTACTTTCCATTAGTACGCGATCTATCTGGTTTTTGGTCTTCGCGTCCGGCGAAATCCACGTTGTTTGATGTATTTCTCTGTGTTTGAAATTCGTGCTCATTACTTTCAATTTGTTTTCCAAAGCAAACTGTATTGCGATTTTTCCGTTTTCATTTGACTCGTGGTGTTTACTATTACCCCCGGTTACTTTGATATATTCTTCCTCCCTTCCTATCTTGGCATTTAAATCCCCTAATACCATTTTGACATCGTACTTGGGAGTTCTCTCCAATATCCTTCCCACTTCTTCATAGAACTCACTCTTAACTGTCAATTCCTTGTCCTCCGTTGGAGAGTGTATATTTACTATTGTTATTTTCCTATATCTCCCTCTGACTCGTAGTCGACAAATCCTTTCATTTACGGCCTCAAAATCCACTATTGCGTCCTTGATCTCATTGTTTATTAAAAACTCCTCCACTATTATAGAAGGTGAAGTTGTCTATCGGGATGACCTGTTGTCCTTTTTGCTTTGTCTCCTGTACATACCAACATACCAAGAGCCGAGGAGTTGGATGAAGAGGAGTTCTACGCAGATGTGGAGTCACCTCTAGACAACCTTGATAGCGTCTCCTCTCTTCAACCTAAAGATAGCCAACAAGGAAATTCAAGTACAAGCGATGACTCTTCGCCTCCTCTAAATATCGCCCGAAAATGATTGTTACAGTTTACCATTACCTCGATTTTAGGTTGTTATAATGAAGAAAAAAACATTTTTTCCCATACCGACACGTTTTTATTGAATTTAATCCCTAATTTTGTGCATTAATAGGTAATTTTAATCCCTAGGGATTAAAAAAAACTTTTTTCTGCAATCGATATCCAAAGTAGGCATTTGCGCTCGTATTTGACAACGCAAACGTAATCTTTTTCGAGGAATGTCACTTTGTCGCTTATAAGCGACAAAATAAAAAAAACGCTCGCTCTTCCAATTATTAACTATAAATCAAATATGCATTGCTCAGAGTATCCAATGACAACGAGTAAATGACATCTTTCATTTAGGCATAAGATTAAAATGATTTGAGTGAAAAAACCTTGTGTGTAATTCGAGCACAAATTGATTGTCGATTTCAAGAGATTGCCGCGCTCGTTCGTCGCGCGTCAACTGTCTCTTTCAATCGACAATACATCATTTTGCGCTCTTAATACACAAATAGCTATAATCCCTCATTTTTTATTTTTACAACATTCAGAAAGTATTCATTTTCTTTATTTTCAGAACAGGTAATATGAAAAGCACAATTTATAAAGGGCCTTAGTGTACATCCAGCTCTTCCTATATAATGCCAAATAACTGAGTTCTTCTCCGCCTCAACAATGGTAAAAACACTTGACTTTTAGTTTTTGTATCTGGAATTTTAACTACCAGCATCGATTCTCCATCTTCTATGTAGTCTACGTTCATTTTTAACAATTCCTCTGATCTGCAAGCTGCAACTTCCTCCAATATCCATAATTATTGTCACAATCTACAACCACAAACTTTGGAAGCATGAGCATGCAATGTTTTACACAAACTAACCTTTAGCAGCAATTGACATCTTAGGGGATGAAAGAAGCGCCTTCGTATGCTTCGTGACTTTCGTCTTCAATATTTTTAGAAGGGTTTACAGGCGTGATTTTACCAAAATAAAAAAAATCTTAATTTTTGTTGACAGTTACAAACAAGCGAGCGTAACTGACATCCTAAAAAGCCTACATTACTTTTTCATAGTTTTTATAGCATATTAATTTTGAAATGGATTCAGATCGGTCGGTATTGGAAAAAATAGTATAAGTAACACTGGATTAAACTAGTTTTTGTTCCCTCAAGAATTTTAACGCCCTCGGCTTTAAACCATTCTTTCAGGAACAAAAACCCTTTTTAATCCCTTGTTACTTAATATACCTACTATTTAATGTAGGTAATTATTTTATTTTCACTTTTTTTGGAAAACTTGTCAATATTCACAGAGCTGTGTCTCTGGAACTAATTCGTTTACAGATCTCGCACACAACTCGTCTTTTAGGCAATTTTCTCTGCTTCAGAAGTGGTAATAACACATTTCCTATTCAGATCAATCCTTTACTTCTTTTTTTGCGAAAAACTGAAAAAAGTTCCAAACTTCCTCGAATTCACCCTCTATATCGGCTGGCTCACGTTTCTGAGGGTTGCAAATCTAGATTTACACTGTCTAGGTTGTCCATAACGACATATTAAAAATGCAAGTTTACAGTATTTTTTTCAATGTTTAGTGTTTAAAATACAAGCGTTGAACTGTTCTTTTTTGTATTTGTCGCTTATCATTTCAACTTGATAAAAATATGCAGGTCGTTCTTTGTATAAAATTTCTTTATCTTTACAGTTTATTTACTAGGTGTTCCTTGGATAAAAATGGAAATGCGTGTTAAAAGTAAATGTGTTTGGATAAGACAATAATTATTAATAACATTTTACGTTGATATTTAAGTGTAGTGAAAATTGTGCGGCTTGAAAATGTGGAAGGGGAATTAAAGAGAAAACGTCTTAAGGAAGTATAAGAAACATTCTGGTCGACACTTGGATATTCCTCATTTTTTCCGACAGAGGGGCGCTTAGTGATTTTAGTCTGTCGAGTTTAGTGAACATTAAATTTGTTTTGTGTATATAGTTAATTTAGGTGGTGTTGTGAAAAGTTAGGGTATATTTTATAGCTAAGGTGTTTGTAATTTTTTTTAAACATTTTGTCACCTGTGTTTATGAACCCAGTGAATGTTGAGATTCTTGTTATTTTCAGCAATTCGAGCGGATATTTGTAAAATACAAATTTTATGAAGTGTCGATGGAGATAAGCCAAGTTTGTTTCAACATTTATTTATTTTAGCCTTGTAAAATCATCTTAATATATAAATCAAGAACGGCTGGACTGATTTGTTAATATTTCAAAACTACAAAGATAATAGCACAGATTTATAAATCTGTGATAATAGTATGTATTGCTATGTACAATAGCAGACGAGCATTTGCGTGTGTGGGATTGTACGTGCTGGGATACGTTCGGGCTCTCATTTCTTCCACCAATAACAGAAGTTACTGGAGAAAGGAAGTCAACTACATCTGTGGTGTCCGTAGATTTTTGCGCGCGCTCCACCATCGGTAGACGGCGGCACGCGCATCGTAGCGATGATGGATGTCAATTCCGTTTGTGGTTCCTTTTCAAGTACATACGATTTGAAATCTTGGGGTCTTTGATGCTGTTCACAATCTGGCGCACCCAAGTAGCCGCGCCACCCCAAAAAAGATTCAAGAACAAGAAGACTCTTGGCCTAGCCTTAAAAATGGTGGTGGACACAGCATTTCGAAAACTGCCAACGGACCAAGGTCTCTGGCACAACCGTGCACATTTGGTAAATTCAACACATGAAACACAAGCCACGTCCATGTGGACCTCATCAATCTTCCATTCGCAATGATTGACCGTCACTCGGTTGTCTGTCGCAACCCCCAGTAAAGACAAATCAACCGAAGTGGTTGCTCGAGCATTTTGGGAGAATTGGATTCGAGACGCCGCTCACATCAAGGTAAGGAGTTTGAGGTTAAATGAATTGCCATTCTGTACCATGGAATTGGAACCAAACACCAGCATACGATTGATGTATTGTTCCATTTTTAAACGTGTTGTACGATGTAGACTGGGATCAAAGAGAATCTTTTTTAAAACACGTTTTTATTGGTACTATTGCGGCTATCGATTTCAACCACGTAGGGTCATCTTCAGGCCGAGCGTCAATACTATAAAATGATGAGGCATGTACTATTATTAGCGGAGTAGTATGTGTTAGTTGTCAGGAAAGATGTTTACTAAAAGTGAGGTACTATTATTAGCGGAGTAGTATGTGTTAGTTGTCAGGAAAGATGTTTACTAAAAGTGAGGTTTCACACAACCTCACTTTTAGTAAACATCTTTCCTGACAACTAACACATACTACTCCGCTAATAATAGTACATGCCTCATCATTTTATAGTATTGACGCTCGGCCTGAAGATGACCCTACGTGGTTGAAATCGATAGCCGCAATAGTACCAATAAAAACGTGTTTTAAAAAAGATTCTCTTTGATCCCAGTCTACACCAGCATACGACTCCTTATAGTATCGCCGGATCAACGGCATGGTGGAGCGGCGTCACAGAACGTTAAAAACCGCCCTTATGTGCCACCCTCTTGACAAGAAATAATATTCATATAAATTTTGATCATTCTTTTTAATATGTGGAAATTACCGATTCGTTTGATGTATGTTGTTTGTAAACTAACATTGTATCCGTGAAAGAAGCAGTCACGGGGGTGGTAAAAACTGTAATCAAATGAGTTACAACACCTAATTCCGTGATTCTGGTCGACATTCAACTATAGGCTCGAAACCCCGAACGAGGGGTGAGTGACATATCTTAGGGGCAAGATTATGCTAATAAAAACTATTCGGTTAAGAATCTATGTGTGATATATGAGTTGCGATTCAATGATTTCCACATATTTTGTCGTGACATTGCATTTGCCTACAAGGCCATGTAATTTTCCATCTTGCTCTTAGGAAAAGGATTTTATTGTACCAAAGATTAGTCTCATCCTGTGTATTTCACCTTTTCACAGACTTTAGGTACCTGCCTACCTGACCCATTGTTCCCAACTTTTGAGTGGTATTAACCAAATGTTAAAGTTTTTCTCCGTCGTACTCTTTTTACCCTTGTGAGTTGCTTTTGCGAGAGTACGGCATCTTTTGGCTTTGCCTTACGTTAATGTGCATCAACTTACAACTAAATTTCCGGGCTTTCTCAATCTTCATAATATGAGCAATAATTATTAAACAGACTTTTCAGTTTTCACCGTTTTAGTGCTGCAGTACTTAAGGTGATAGCCCGTTACAACTAAAGTAAGGGGGTCCTGCTTTAGATGTTTCATCGCGTGCTACTTTTCAAATTTAAGCGGGATCTTGTTTAGTTTTGGAGGGAATGGTCATTCGAATAGCCATTTTTAAACGTTACCAAGTTGACTTTATTTCCGTGTTCTTGTAGTGTCAAGTTAGCGTAGAACCTGATGGGGGCTAAGTAGGTACCTACACTACACAATTCTTATTTTTTAGAATCCAACGTTAAAGAGAAGAAGGTGGTTGGGATTTAAAAAAAAAATCAGTTTTCGCACTTTCAAAATTAAAACATTTCAGATGAGTTTCTGAGCACTC